GAGGGAATTTACTACTTTTTTTGACAAATATCAGTTAGTCAAATGAACATGCTACATTAATTGGAGCATTCAATCAGATTTCAGTTTTTGGTCCATAATGGAACAATTTCAGGAACTAATGTTTGATCAATTGGTTATAGACTTATGAACCAGTAGGCCTATTGGCTTCTATGAGAACTAAATTAAGGAAGACCAATACCCTAATCTTATTGTTTTTTTAAAGTGGGATAAATGTAAATTTAAATGAATGTTGTCCAACACATTTGTTTGCTGTCATGGGTACAGGGTTGTCATCCAGAAAGCTGCCCATTCAGTTAAAAATCATTAACAGCCTGAATTTAATTGAAATAAAGTGTTGGATTTCAATGTGATTTCAATTAGTGATAGTAATTGGAAATCGCAATGTAATTTACTGATGGTCAAAATTAGTCACTGGAGATGTGCTTGTGCATTTTGACCTCGAAATTCAATTGAAAAGAATGAGATAAATGAAACCCCAAGGCTCATAGATACATAGATACATCAGATGAAGTGACAGTCAGTGTTTAATAACAGAATTGGTTGTTACAGCTAAATAGAAAAAAATTCTCTATACAAGAAAAAAGTGTATGTTTGTTAGAAACTACTAATTATCTGTGATATTGAATTCTTTAAAAGGGCAGAGATTTTCTCACCTTCACAGGCTTCTCTGGATTAATTACTGGATACAACACGTTACTCTAATTTATTGCATCACATAAACCATGAATGCTCACTATTTTGTTCAGGGATAAACTCCTGAGTGATGTCTTGTTCAAGGACATAATTAGTCAAGCTACGACTCCTCAGTCATAAGAGAAGACATCTTAGAGGGGACTTCATAGAAATGTATATTTTAAATGAGATTGAAAAAGTAAACCCAGAACAATACTTTAGGATACACCAAGACCGTAGAACAAGAGGACATAGATTTAAAGTTACAAAGGGAAATTTGAGGATGGAAGATTTTTTTAACCCAATGGAAGATTTTTAGGTGGGATTTAAAAGTGGGGAGGAAGGGGCAAGGGGAGGGATTGAGGGAGAGAGTGCCAGAGGGGCATAATATTTGAAGGCACGGCCACTATTGGTGGAGCAGAGGGGTCAAGGGACAAACAGGAGGCCGGAGCCAGCCGAGCAGAGATGGCAGGTGATGGAGTGGGGTGTAAGCAGATCAGAGAGGTAGGGTGTGAATGAGAGGATCTTGAAATCGATCTATTTGGTAATTGGGAGCCAGTGAAGCCTGGCGAGGACTGGCATCCCAAGCACTCTAGGCTGCTGCCCTGTGTGAGGGGCGCTATATACATATTTTTGTTGATAGGGGAACAGAGTTTTGTGCGGGTGAATATCCAGGTGACAGAGTTTTGAATTAATTTAATTTTGTTTGTGGTGGAGGTGGGGAAGCCACCGAGGAGGACATTGGAATAGTCCAGCCAAGAAGTGACTAAGGCGTGGACAAGGGTTTCGGCTGCATTGGTTGAGAGATATGGATGGAGGCAGGCAATGTGATGTAGGTGGAAGAAAGCAGTCCTGGTCAAGAAACGAATGTAGGGTAGAAATAAAAGGTGTAGATTGAACCCGACACCTCAGTCGCATGGGTTTGGTAAGTCTAAGGGAGAGCCCGGGGAGGTTGAGAAGTTCAGACCTGCAGAAGAAAAGATGTTGATGGTAGCCAAAGAGTATGGCTTCTGTCTTACTGACATTCAGCTGCAGGAAATGTGCTCATCCAGGCCTGATGTCTGTCAAACAAAGTGACAGAACATCGGCAGACTGGGAGTCGCAGCTGGAGAAGTAGATTTGAGTGTCATCCGCATACGTGTGGAAGTTGTCCCCACGTCTGCAGATGACATCGCCGAGAGTGACCAATGCAAAATGTAAAGATTATGGTATTATAAGATGACACCATGTGATATTTATATGTTACCTCAATGAATGGAATAAGGATCCAAGATCTATAGTTACTTCAACTTGAACCATCCTTCCTTCCCATCTTCAAGAAGCTCTGAGACAGAAGGTTGTGGGTTGAAGCCCTACATCGGGATTTGGAATCACATAGTCTAAGATGACACTCCAATGCAGTGTTGGGGTGGGGGGGGGTCATTGTCGAAGGGGCCATCTTTTGGATGAGACGTTAAACCGAGGTCCTGTCTACCTATTCAGACAGATGTAAAAGATCTGATGGCGCTGTTTGAAAAGAGAAAGCAGTTTCTCCTGGTGTCCTGGCCAACAATCCCCCCAAATAAAAAAATAGTCACTTACTCCATGGCTGTTTTATGGGACATCGCTGTGCGCTAACCTGGCTGCCACATTTGCCCACAAAATACGCAGTCAATCCACTTTACAGTTTATCATGTAAAGTGCTTTGAGACGTTTCTGCAATGTGATAAGGTGCTACATTGAATGCAAGGATTATTATTATTAAAAAATTGTGGGCACTCACTCAGTGGTGGTCAGCTGATCACCAGCAGCTTCAGCAGTGAATGGCACCTAATAGCCACCTTGCAGTTTATGTGGCAATAAAGACCAGAGCCCACTTACTCCCACAGCTGACAGCTGTGAGACACTCTTCTCATTGCTTCTGAATATCATTGAGGATTCCCCCCCTCACTGGTCAGCAACCCTGGTGGTGACCACTTGAGAATATTCTGCTCTGCACAAGAAGCAGAACAACCAGCATTGTGGGCTTCATGATTTAAAGGTAAGTTTCTTTTGGATCTTGATTAATATTGCATGAAACCAGGACACCTCCACTATAAATATAAAAATATGAATAGAATAGCATGCAAAAAAAATAACTACAATATTTATTTAACCTCACACAGGAGAGAGCAACTAAAGACCCCAGGTATGAGTTAAACTGCCTTAGATATTCCTACTTTAAAAAAAAATCCTGTTTCAATTGCAATGGATTCAAGTTTGTTGTTTTTGTGCACTTTGCTGAGAAACGGGATCGATATGACCAATTCATTCGTCGACTGGTTGGAATAAACTGACTTGCAATTGATCCGATGAAGATATCAGTAAAAGCAGATCATCTCTGAATGGAAATGCTCATACCGTGAGGTGTCACTGTTGTTTTGCGCTCAATTCATTATCTGGTTGGGAAGGAAAGGCTTCAATGCCCCAGAAGGAAGGGGAAATAATAATAATAATAATAATGGGGAGAATTGGGTGTGATATACAACTCACAGACTGCAGTATAAAGTGAAGAGGGCGTAGAAATGTCCACATGTCCAGAGAGATCCTTGTGTCTTGTTGCATCTCAGTTATAACTCAAATAAGACAACCCACAGACATGTATTTATCACCAGGAGATGGGTCACGCTTTTTTGGCTGAGATTTCGTTTAAGAACTACTGTAGACAGAGAAACAGTCTGGAATCGGCCCCTATAGCAGCCAAAACCTACTCTTTTTTTTTGAACAGAAGTTGCTGGTCCATCTTATTTCTCTGGGGAAATTGCTTGAGACCCTTAATACTTCAGAGCTGCTCTGTCCCAGTCGTGGAGCTCAGGGCTGTCAACCCATCTGGTAATGTGCTGTGCTGTTTGCTGTGCTAATGCCACTGAATCCCCAGGAAACCAGGCTTTGCACCAAGGCAATTTCCTGGTGAAATTATTATTTGAAAACACCTCGTAATATTTGCAAAGCCAGGCTTGGGAGAGGGTTACCCGAGGGTGGGCAACTCCCCATGCAATAAATCTTCCCTGCACGAATCCCGACGCTGTTCACAGCGACGCAGTTTCATTGATGCAATGGAGAGTTGGACAGTGATTTTTTTTTTGCAAAAATAAAAGTTGTCAGCAATCGTCGCAGTCAGAAGCCATACCCGTGTGATGTTGAGCAGTTGTTTGATCAACACTCTGCTGGTGGTGGTGCTGCTGGTGGTGGTGGTGCTGGTGGTGGTGGTGCTGGTGCTGGTGGTGCTGGTGGTGGTGGTGCTGCTGGTGCTGGTGCTGGTGGTGCTGCTGGTGGTGGTGGTGCTGGTGCTGGTGGTGCTGGTGGTGCTGCTGGTGCTGGTGGTGCTGGTGGTGCTGCTGGTGCTGCTGGTGGTGCTGGTGCTGGTGGTGCTGGTGCTGGTGCTGGTGGTGCTGCTGGTGCTGGTGGTGGTGCTGGTGCTGGTGGTGCTGGTGGTGCTGGTGGTATAACGGAGATTTTGCTCTCAGTGTCCTGTTTGGATCACTGAGGAATGAATGCAATCCGTGATCTTTCGGTACACTGTGTGCATAATGCAAAACCCACAATAACAACTTCACGGGGGGGGGGGGGGGGGGGGTGGGGGGTGGTGGTGGGGGGGGGGGGGGGTGGGGGGGGGCAAAAGCAGCTGCAGTTCGTGGCTTTCTTTTGCTACGATCCCAGTCGCAGACCTGGTCAGACCCCACGAATTGCACGACAAATCGCAGTGCATTTTCCTTCCTAAAAGCATCTCTCATTTATTACATAAGAGCACCCTCCCCCCCCCCCTCCCTCCCCCCTCCCCAACAAAAAAAAAGAAAAGAGAAGGGGAGCAGAGCGGGTGGTGCTCACACGGAGGTGATGCTGTGTGTTTGAGCACCATGTGATCTCACTGCAGAGAGAGCGATTGGAGAGCAGTGGCTCAGAGGGAGGAGGAGAGATCGCAAAGATCTGCAAACCCCCTCTCACCATCAAACCTCACTTCAACTCCCCCCCCCCCCCCACCAACCCCCCAGCATCCCAGCACCCAGTGCTCCCCCAGCACCCAGTGCCCCCCCAGCACCCAGTGCTCCCCCAGCACCCAGTGCTCACCCCAGCACCCAGTGCCCCCCCAGCACCCAGTGCTCCCCCAGCACCCAGTGCCCCCCCAGCACCCAGTGCTCCCCCAGCACCCAGTGCTCCCCCAGCACCCAGTGCTCCCCCAGCACCCAGTGCCCCCCCAGCACCCAGTGCCTCCCCAGCACCCAGTGCTCACCCAGTGCTCCCCCAGCACCCAGTGCTCCCCCAGCCCGAGGACAGGAGCATCGCAGGACAGAGAAGGAGAGCAACTGGAAAAAAAAAGGAGATGTGCTCTTTGGAGAGGTTTTGCTAATCCACTGTGAGGCTGGAATTGGGGGAGAAGGCTGCAAACTTACCATCAGGGTACCCTAACCTCACCTTAACCTAACCCCCTGCCCTGCTATGTGCATCCCAAGCACAGGTATCTCTGGGATGTTCTTCCAGATGTTCTGAAGGCGAGGATCCCTCCTCTGGATGCAACGCTTTCCCAAACCCCAGTGGATCGTGATGGAGAAAGATGCTTTTATTCTTCTTCTTCTTCACTGTTTGCTTTTGGCTGTGTGGGGTAGGTAGTGAATTTATGTATAATATCTCTATCCAATGCACTGCAGCGACCTGGTGTCTCCCACCCCACACGTTGATCGGATCTGTGTAACGCAGAGCATGAGAGAGAGAGAGAGAAAGTGTGAGTGAGTGTGAGAGAGAGAGAGTGTCTTGTTTTTTGTTTCAGAAAAAAAATATATTCGGAAAACATTTCTCAAATACTCTCCTCCTCTTCAAAAACACACTAAACCAGACACCAGTTTCTCATTTCAACCATCATGGGGTCAATTGGGATTTTCTCGTTTCTTATCTCAATATATATATATATGTGTGTGTGTGTGGATGGATTGGCCACTTTTCTGTGTGTGTTTTGTCTTTTGTTAAAAAAAAACAACATGAAATGTCTAAAACATTTTCTCTCCCGTTTGTTTTTTTTCATTGGTTGGCTATTTTACTTTTCAGAAGTTTGATCAGTTTTGATCATTTGCCTGTGTCAATCTTCTGCTTTTTGTTTCCACTCATTGCTTCCTCTCTCTCTCTCTCTCATTCTCACTCAATGTAAACTTTAAACTGCAAGAACCCCAATCCCAGGTCTCTGAATTTTTAAGGACAGTGACTGTGTCAGGTCACTAACAATGCTCACTGGTCACATATAAATGGCACTAGAGCTCACTAGACCCCACATAAAGGATCATTGTTGCTCTTCAAAAGGTACTGAGGAAGAACATTTTAAAAAATCTTTTGAGCACAATTGGTTCAAAATATCAGGATCACTGTTATTTTCTTTCACTTTATACTCTGATTTCACAGTAAATATATATCGCTTGGCAATTTTATAAATTATTTGGCCACTGCTGATAATTGCTTAGCAGTCCAGTAATATTTTTGCTATCTGTTCTTACATTCTGGTTTTGTGTGTTTTCTAGGTAACAGTTGTTTGATTTCTGCGCTGTCAGGTAAGAGCAAAGTCTCCTTAGGAAATAGAAGGGTTTGAACCCCTGATCTCGTACATTTCTGCTGTGTCCCTTACCCTTTCAGTCTCACAACATGGTCTGTCTGTTGTCATTTTACTGGGGGTGTCCAAATAGGTACACCCATATTCTTTGTGTATATTTACATTGGTAAATTGCAAGCCAGCAGACAGTTAGTACAGGGTACAGTTTAATATTTTCAAATGCTTTTTTAAAGGTTAATGCCAATAATAATAAAAGACACTGCCATTAATGCAAAATGTTTGCCTCTGGTAGCAGGGACCCACAATACTATTAAGCATCAAATATTGCTCCAAGTTCATATCAAATTTTAATTTAAAAAACCTCAAAATTAGAAAGCAGAAAATTTGAGTGGCATGAAAGCGCTGGATCTAGCTTCAATCAGCTGCTTATTGCTGAGGTGAAGATGTTGTTTTCTATGTGTGAGGTAAACGGTGGGGATAGATAGCAACGTTTTCAAAGACTTTCATGCATTTATCGTTAAACACAATCTGCCCCAGGTTTAATTAAAATCCATGTCTCTTCAACTGGTTGTTCCGAAAGACTTGTATGCATTGTAATGATCTAGGTGAATGCTTTGAAATGGGAAGTAAATCATTATTACTTTTCACCTGTTCGGAGCTGTCTCATACTGTATTCACTGTTTAGGGACATACATGAAAAACAGCCACTTGAGTGAGGTAGCCCAGACCACCCATGGAAATATACTATAAGAGAAAGAAAATGGAGAGCGAGAGGGGAGCAAACTTGGACAATAAAAAAAATTGAAAAAAAAACAAGTTGCGTGTTTAACTAAGTTTAATTTAATTCGCCCTCAAAATACATAATCAATCCACCTTATAATAATCATATTCCTTGCATTTAGTATAGCCTTTGAGATGCCTCGACGATGTGATAGGGTGCTATATCAAACACAAGGATTATTATTATTAATTTGGAAGTGACCTACACCATGATTTTTCCTGAAGATTGCATTTGCATGCAACAATTTTAAATGTTGGATATTGCAACAAAAACAGTTTCTAATTTATAGTAAGACCTTGGCATCAACAAAAGGAACTATTGTACTGTCACTTTGATTTTTTGGGAAAAAACAGACATTCAAAATACTTATGTGTTCACATTATTTTATTTCTGTTCAATTTTCTAGCCAAAGAACATACCAATCTATATAATGAGTCACAATCAAGCCAGGCAGTGAATAAAAACAAGCTCTGCAATGAGACTGCTATATTAGAAGTTATGCAAATTTGTGGAAAGTCCTTTGAAGAACAGATTAACCAGATCCATCCCAAGTATTGGTGTAACTTCACACACATTGTCAGGTGAGTGTATGTATTTGTGAAGACCTTCTTTACTACAGTTCAAGTCATCACATTAGATCAGATTAGCTATTCTGTATACCTACAAGCTTTTGTTCGCCTACAAAAATCACAGTCACTACACTTTGAGGTAAAATACTGCAAAGCACTTTGAAATGTCTCAACAACATGAACAATTGCTACATGAAATGAAAGAATTATTATTATTTGACATGAACTTGTGCAGTTGTTTTTTAAACCCTTTTTAGTTTCTTGTTTCAGCATTTGTGTTGATAGTTTAACCCATCAATCCTGAGGAATTAGGACAAATTTCAGAGTAAATAAAGGGAGAGGCATTATGTATAAGCACAGTGTATAGTAATAGCTGTACCCGTTTCAGCTACTGTTGCAATCAAAGGACCCCATATAGAATATAGATTTCAGTGACACCACTCACACACCGGTTAACATGCCATAAACACTGTGTGTACATCTTAAGCAAAACAATTGTATTTTTTGTATACTCGTTTTTAGAGCTGGCATTTTCAGTGATACCACTCACAAACCATTTTATATGCCATAAACCCTGTGGGCACAACTTAAGCAAAACTGCCATAAGTGTGCGATGAGCTTGTTTAGGTCATCTTGATTCTCAGCAGGGTGAAACCTTGGGCAAGTTTCCTTACTCCAAATGCCTGCTAATAATAATAATATTATTAATGATAATAATAATCCCTCATGAAAAAAACAAATAAATTATAATAATTCGGGCACTCAATCCATGACTGTTTGTGGGACACTGCTGCGTTTTGCCCACAAATATACAGTCAATTCACTTTACAGTATATTCTGTGAGGCGCTTTGAGACGGCTTGAAGACGTGAAAAGCGCTATATCAAATGCAAGGAATGTTTTTATATTATTATAGCTCATCAGCACGAGGAGATACCCCCAATTATTGAGTTATTGGCGGACAGACACACAGACAGACATTTTGTCTTTATTACTATAGATTATCATATAAAATTATATGCAAAGGGGGAGAGGCTAAACCCCAGCCCCGGGTGAGGCCCCAACGTGAGCATCTGGCCTTCACCCTCCCCCGCTAGTCGCTGCTAGACTGCGGCACAGAAGAACCCGGAAACCCCATGGCCTTACAAGCCAACCGTCACCTACCACCGGCCCAACTCCGACATGGCAATGCCCAGCCGAGGGGCCACCCAGGAACAATGGGAAAGGCAACCAAACGGCTGCCGTCAGCGCCGCTCGAGGCAACTTCCATCTCATCACCGCCATCTTGTTCGCCACCACTTGGCTTCGTCTGAGGGGGCGCGTGCTGTGCTGCATGTCATAGCACCACTGGGAGTTGGAGCGGCCACCGGGTGTAACTGCAATCTACATGTAACTGCCATACATGTGTGATGAGCTTGTTTAGGTCATAACTCATCAACGATAGGAGATCCCCCCCAAAAAAATATGCCCATGACACTCCCCAATACAAGACCTTTCCAGTGAGGTATGAATCATGTCTCTACGTCAATCAGTTATTGAGTTCTTGGCGGACGGACACACAGACATTACATCTTTATTTACACAGAAGATTAGTATAGATAAACTCAATAGAGTCATCTCATAAAAGTCTATATTTCAGTTTGTTTCCAGGAGAGTATCAGCCTGGCTCACATGGTAGCACTCAGCTCAGACCAACCATTGGGACTTTCAACTCACAGTCTAGACTGACACTGCCTTCAGCTCCCCTCTCGACTCTCTTCCACCTCCTCGCTCCCTCCCTTCCCTCCCCTCACCCTGACCATTTCCCCCCTCCTCGCTCCCTCCCTTCCCTCCCCTCACCCTGACCATTTCCCCCTCCTCGCTCCCTCCCTTCCCTCCCCTCACCCTGACCATTTCCCCCTGCTCGGGTCATGACCCAACTGTGCAGCGCCTTGGGACGTCCTCCTGACGTGAAAGGTGCTTTATAAATGGAATCTTGTTGTTGTTGTTGTTGTTGTTGTTGCTGGGGGTGCACCATAAGAAGATAAGAATTTACTAGGCGAAAGACCAATGTCTTAATTAATTAATCAATTAATTATTTAACTATTCAGTTCGCCTTCCACCATCCACGCATGACGTTCGTGTTCCAAATTATACACTGTATCCCGAGATGTTATTTCCAAATAGAAATCTATCTAACTTGGTCTTGAAAAAATCGACACTTTTTGCTTCCACATCTCCCGAGGGAGTCTATTCCATATGTTTATTGCTCGATCACTGAAGTAGTGTTTCCATATTGTTGGAGTTGCGGTACTTCAGATGAGATGTTAAATACAGGTCCCATCTGTCTGTTAAGGTGGACATTGAAGATCCCTTGGTGTTATTTGAGAAGAGAAGGCAGTTTTACTGTTTCGTGGCCAACAATCTGCCAAATAAAATTGCTCATTCACTTCATGGTTGTTTGTGACATATTGCTGTGCACAAATTGGCTGCCACATTCACCCCATAAAAATACACTCACTTCACTATACAGTAAATCCCATGAAGCACTTTGAGGCATTCCCCCTGATGTGAAAGGTGCTAAATCAACTGTAAAGATTATTAATATTAACAGAACGGTAGAGTCACAGCTAGTTGTTAATCTAAATTCAATTGGGTGTCAACACTTCTGAATGGATACGATTGGAAAGGTTACAGCAGAAATAAGATAATCTTTCAGTGATATGACCTGCGTGCACAACTCCATAAGAATGTGTTTTCATTTGTTGTTAAAGTCATAAAGATTGGAATGATGGTTCTGCGCCAAGTAAGAACAAACTAAAAGAAGCTCTTTAGCCAAACCAGTATATAACAGGAATAGTTTAGGAATTTGTAGAGGTAACTACAATGCCAGTTTCTATTATGCAATAACATATTTCCGTAACATATTTAATTTTCAATCAAGAAAATTTACACGAATACTTTGAATGTTGTATCTTTCAGTGGTTTGTATCTAGAGTCAGGTGTATCACATATGTCAGACTTGTATGTAAGAAAATATGTCCAGTTATTTGTGTTTGTAGAAAGGAGGTATTTTAGCATAGTGCAAAACACTTTAACAATTGCTATTACGTAATGTCAGAACTGAGAATACAGAGAGCGAAAATTGACTTTTAGGGATTCATTATTTGTGGTTTTGATATGTTTTATAGCTAGCATGTGGCCCATATAACATCATAACAAGCATACTTACATGATCCAAACTAAACCAGGTACTTCACACAGCCCAGATGGACTGTAATCCTCCAGAATAATTGGTCATTCACTTCATGGCTGTTTTATAACCTTGCTGGTCCAGCCCTGTGAGACTCCTTTGTAATTTAGAGCTCTAAGACTGTGAATTATTCCTGTCATTTTATTTTGTATACATTATATTCTAGGCCCAGCTGAAGGTAGAAGAACCAAAGCGACACACAATATTTCAATTGTAGCCTCATCAATGATGAGTACATGGTTAGACCAATTTATTTTCCTTACAGTCAAATAACATTGAGATGTAATCTTTGTTGACAGCATTGATGGGGCCTCAGTCAGTGATTAATTGTCACGCTCAAATCCTTTTCCTTCTCCACTTTTTCCTCAAGGCCACCCTTTCGCTGTACGTGTATACAGTTTTTTTTGTTCCAGTTTATATTGCATTTCTACATCTGTCACTTCCTGGTAAATCTGTTCAACTCATTGACCATCTTGAAATCGCAGTCTAAGGCGACACTGGAATACAGTGATAGGGATGGGCTGCTTTGTAGGAGGTGCCTTCCTTTGGATGAAATGCTAAAACAATCCATAAGCCTGTTCAACGACAACAACAACTTGCATTTATATAGTACCCTTCATGCGAATAGCATTTCGGAGCATTTAACATCAGTGTAGTTATTAGACCAAAGATATGGTTGAAGATGAAAGTCTTCAAGTGTGATTTGAAAATAGGCAAAGAGGGGGCAAGGATTTAGGCAGGGAGTTCCAGAGATTTGGGTCATAATGGTTGAAAGCACGTCCGCCAGTGGTGGAGCGGAGGGGATGGAGATGCACAGAAGACCCAAGCTAGCTAAATGAAGGCGGCAGGTAGAGGAGTGGTGTGTGAGAGGATTGGAGAGGTAGAGAGGTTCCAGGACGTAAAGTGAGAGTGTGGATCTTGAAATTGAACTGTTCTGCCAGTGGAGTCTAGCAAGAACTGAGGTGATGGGGTGCGGAGCCTGGTACAGATGAAGACCTGATTGGCAGAGGTTTGAATCATTTGGACCTTATTCAGAGTGGAGCAGGGGAGACTGACGAGTAGTGCTTTAGAAAATTAGAGGCAGGAGGTAATGAAAGCAAAAATTAGGCTTTCAGCTGTGTTTGAAATCAGATAAGGTCAAAGGCAGGCGCGGTGATAGAGGTGGAGGAAGGCAGTACTGGTTAGGGACTGGAGTTAGGTAAAAAAAGGTTACTGGGATTGATGCTAATGTTGTGTATAGATTTGGTGAGTTTGAGGGATAGGCAAGGAAGGTTAACAAGTTCAGTTTCAGATGTTCAAGTGGATGTTAAAGATCCTATACCATTATTTGAATAAAGAAAGAGGTTTCTCTGGTGTCATGGCAAAAGTTCTCCAGATTAAATTGGTCATTCACTGAATGGCTATTTGGGGGACATTGCTGCCAGTAAATTGCCTGCTTGTTTCATATAAAATTACATAGTGAATTTTGAGAGATTTGAGACATGAAAGGCACTATATTAAATACAGAAATTATTTTTTAAGTGCTGATGATATTTAACAAAACCTGTTGATAATTTGAAACCACATGATTGCTGCCCATTTGTTGAGGTGGAACTAGGGTTTGGAAAACAGTTTATTTCCATTCTTATTGCTTCCTATTATTAGTTTTTAAAACAAAATTGCCAAAGAAAATACAGAATCTTAATATATTTCAGGTGATAAACAATAGAACAATATGAATTGCATTGCATTCTCTAGGCAAAGATGTAGCAATTTTTTTTAGAGTCAGCTTTGGAAACCCA